TTTGCTGCTAAATAGAAGCCTTTTTATAGGGTTCAATAAAGAACCATGCTTTGAAAATACTATATAGGACCTTAATGGTGTTATAAATAACCTATTTAATGATAGTTTATTTTCATTAATATTAGTATATTTATATCATAATATTAGTATTATTCATATTATTTGTATATTATTTATTAATATTGTTTTTTACCCCTCTATATGCCTGGTATTACAATATCTTGTAGGGTATATTAGGTTTTACATAAAAACAACAACAGCATGTTGTGTCAATTAGGTACTTACATTTTTTTTAATGACGTGAAATTGTAGCAAACAAGACTCTACAGTTATTAGCAGAATACATTAATAAATGACAATTGACATTGAACATAAATAAATACTTAAAGTAGCAAAAACACAAAATAAAAACAAAAATTAGATGTGATGAAGACCGAGTTCCAAATCCAAATCCTCTATGATGCCTTTAAAATCCAAGTTTTGGTGTGATTGAGTGGCAGTTTCTCTGCAGATGATGAGGTTGTGGGATGTGATGCATCTGAAATACACAGTTGAGTTTAGAGCTTGTCTACAGTTTGTCTCTTGCATTTGTTTATGTTATGTTCACAAAAGGCAAAAATAGCAAAACATTGACAGTATGTGAGCCCTTCACAATCTTAAAAGAAAAAAAAAGTGATATACAGTCATGGCATAGCTTTAATATTTTTTTGTGACTATACGAAGTTTGTGATATAGCTGACCAATATTAGAGAAATTTTGGATCACAGTGAGCTCACACTAAACTAACAGATTGAGAGTGTAACACAATGATATCACAGTGGTCTCACATGGTATGAGCACACAGTGAGAGCGCTGTGAGGTTACACTATAAGCTCACTGTGACCTCACATTGTGACCACATCATGAGTATCCTAGGAGCTCATGGTGAGATCAGATTGTTGGCTGGGAAGTTAACAGTGAAAGTGCAACCTCCTCCAAAACCTTTGAGATAAATATTAGTTTAGAGATAGGCCGGTTATTATGCACAGTGTGGTCAAGATGAAATCCTTTCAGTAGAGGCTGTACAATAGCATGTTTAAAACTTGCTGGAAATACCCCATTTAAAAAGAGCTTTTTAGTGTCTAAACCCTCCCTGAACAAACGGCCCGGTAAAACACGCGAGTTTCATCTGAGAGATTATTTTGGTTAAGATGGAGACACTTGAAAACTTGTAAAGCTAATCATGGAGAGGCCAACTGGGAGTGGTCAGTGTCAAGAGCAGGGGTGTGTGGGCCCCAAACTAATGTGGGGTTAGTTGTAACCAGTGTTGGGCAGTAACGCATTACTTAGTAACGCGTTACTGTAATTTGATTACTTTTTTAGTAACGGAGTAATTTAACGCGTTATAATTTTCAAAATAGTAATTAGAGTATAGTTACAAGCCGAGGTCTCTATACGTTACTGTCACATTGTAAAAATGATGTAGCACATGCACTGTCGAGTCAAGTGCCAGTGGAGACCTACTTCCGAGAGACCCGACGCAACAGCAGCGCGGGAGAAGATCTTGTGCGAGTGCTGGTGCGGGCGGGTAGAGACTCGTGTGTGTGCGGGATGCGGGAGAATAAAATGATTCACGGGACTCCCGCAAAATAGAAATATCTAAACATAAAATATCTAAAACAAATAAATTGTTATTCATCTATTGCACAAAAGCAACATGAACCAATATAAAATACAAATGATGGTAACACTTTATTTCGATAGTCCACTTTAGACATTCTATTAACAGTAAGTAACTTTGCAACTACATGTCAACTAGCAGTTAGTAGAGTATTAGTAGACACTTTCTTTGTCAACTTATTCTAACCCTAAACCTACCCTAACAGTCTACTCTGAGAATTAGTTGACATGTAGTTGACATGTAGTTACAAAGTTACTTATAGTTAATAGAATGTCTAAAGTGGACTATCGAAATAAAGTGTAACCGAATGTTTATCTATCTCCAGCCAGGTGTGACCCTGGATCACAGAACCTAACAAACCAAAAGTTATTTTATGTTTTTACAACTGATTTGAAGATTTCTTTATTTTTCTTATTTGGGTATATAGGGGAAGTGACAAAACACTACTTTGGGATTCTGTAGTTTGATTACATTTTCAGAGTAACTTGCCCAACACTGGTTGTAACACACATGGTTTAAACATTTCCACACATAGCTTGTATTACAAAACTTACGGTATTTACTAGTTGTCATATCAACACTATATAGAGAAAAAATAATAATGTTCCAAAATTCAGAAATCTCTTGAAGATATCACTAAACATTTATTTAACCATAGCAAAAGTAAATTTCTGGCTGAAGTAAATTTTTCATCTAAGTTTTTAGTGTTAATATAAAATGAGACAAATCTGCTATTATTTTAATCTCCTATCTATTATTTAGCAGTTTAGATAGTTATTTAATGCTTCGCTAACTAGCAGAAGACTCTAACCAGTTTTAAATTCCAGTTGCGCAGATGGGAAACATTGTAACACTGCGTTACAATGTGCCCCGCTATTATTAGCACTATGCTATTCTATGACATTAGCGATGTTATTTACATGAATTACTTTCATGAATTTTAATAAGAAACATTGAGAAACAGGTGAATAAAGACTGAGAGTCAGTGTTTAATGTTCAGAAATTATTTCAAGAAATGTTAAGCACTTTGGCTCATCCATTTGACCATGTTCTGTGGAGGGAGGGGAGTGTCGTGTTCATCTCTGCGTTTTTCTGAATGTATGAATGTATGTCTTCATCTGTTTGCCCACATTGTTTTGAACTAGCTGTGTGTTGCGATCAGAGCTGTCCCAAACACGGGGCCCTGGTTGCAATGTGTTCATTGTCAAACTCTAAAATTAGTTTATTTTTAATTCTTAAAAAATGCTATTATTTTATTTTTTAAAGATATTTTTATTTGGTTACACTTTATTTTGATAGTCCACTTTAGACATTCTATTAACTATAAGTAACTTTGTAACTACATGTGAACTACATGTCAACTAATTCTCATTAATTTGCAACTACATGTATTGACAAATTATTTTAGTTTGTCTTGTATATATTTTTTTTCATTAGATCATATGACATTTTAAGCTACAACGCTACAACGTGCCCCTCAGATGTTACAATGTGCCTCACCTATGGGGCAAGTTGTCACATTTCACTTCCATTCTTTTGGGGTAAATAAAGAAAAAAAAGTATGCACTGTAATTATGAAACAAAACCACATATTTGTACTAGACTGTGAAATTAATGTGGAAAAAAATATTATCTGAACCCTATGTGGATTTACACAAACTGAGAAAGTCAAAAAGTGGTTGTGTCCCGCTCTCCCCTATATACATTAAATATGTAAAATGTATATACATTTAAAGACAATGATTAGTTACACAGTCTTCTGTTGCTTCTGTAATTTATTTACAATAATATGCACTGGTAAATCATCCACAACATATATTAAGAATGACAAAAATTTTCAGTTTTGATTAAAAACATTAATAATAGTTTGAAGACGTGTCATCAAAATAACATTTTATTTTGTTATAATTAATCCTTCTATGGTTCTGTAATAATGGGAATATAATACAATTAAAATAGCATGTCAATTTCAATGGCATGCAGAAAATATGCACATTTTATTAGACAGTAAGAATGACAAGTTATGCTATTTTGTATTTTGCCTTGTATTCATTCCCAAGATTTTGTTGATATTCTAATAAATATGAATATATGTATGTGAACTGTACTTTATTCAGTCATTACATTGTACAGTTTGAGACAGATTATATACACCAAACAGAAAAAAATACCTGATCCGAGAGGTCCTATTGAAACTATGAAGCGAAAGTGACTATGCTTATGTGTATGAGTAGTCAAAGTTGTCATCTTTATGGTGGGAATCATCCCAGAAGTCTAGATTATTAACCTTACAAATGTCTGCTCGGGTGATACTAATAAGAATTATGGCATAAATGATGTAGATGATTATAAAAAAGCCAAAGCAGAATTTGTCTAGGAGGTAAGCAAATGCCACTTTACTCCGCGCCTCCTTTTCTCCTTTATACATGTTCTGCAAAAAATTCACTATTTTCTGGAGCGAAGCCATCTCTGAAGCCAGATTACCAGACTGGGTTGCAATCACACCTGCATCTGTTGACGAAGACCAAATTATTTATGTTATTGCAATGCTGATCTAATTAAAAGGTGAAGTGTGTCATTTCTGCACCACTACCATCACAAAATTAAATCATGAGTGTTGAATTCACTAAATAGTTGTACAGCTTGTAGTATTTCAGTGCAAAAACCTGTGAATTAGTCACTAGCCAGTGCCAATTTTTAAATAAAGTCATTATTTTAAGCAGAAATTCACTTCCATTCTATAAACCCTTAAAGGGTTAGTTCACCCAAATATGAAAATTAGCCCATAAATTACTCACCCTCAAGTCATCCTAGGTGTATATGACTTTCTTCTTTCAGACGAATCCAGTCGGAGTTATATTAAAAATTGTCTTTGATCTTTCAAGCCGTTTAATGCCACTCAGCGGGTGTTGCATGCATCAGTCCAAAAGAAGTGAAATAAAAAGCGCCCATCCATTAAAAAAAGTGTCTCACACAGCTCCGGGGGGGTGAACAAAAGCCTTCTGTAGCGAATCGATGCGTTTTTTTAAGAAAAATATCCATATTCAAAACGTAATAATCACTTGAATGTAGCTTGCGCGTTCCGGGCGGATGACATATGAGGTCAGCGTTGCGCATGCGCCGGTACGTCTCGTGAAAACCAACGTTTGTTAACTGCCTGAGCACTTTTCCTTAGGATCTAATGTTAGGATGAATAATATTAGGTCATAATGAAATCTGATATTAGGACTAAACATAACTTCTGCCAGAATAACTTTACATCGGCATAGTAAAAATCTGCATATCTGTAGCATTTTGTTTAAAATGGAGCAGATTTGTTTTTCTCTCTCTTTCTGTACTTTCACTTACGGAGGAGGGGGCTACAGTTGCCACTGCTAGGCAAGTGTTCATTGAGGATGAGGAGGAACATGGTGAAGCTCAGGACCAAGGTGACCTTAAAAGAGTTGCGCTCTCCTCCTTCGAATGGCAGAGCAAAGCTCACCAGGTCAGCCAGCAGTACCAGTCCGCTGGGCAGGATCAGGGTCACAAAAGCACTGAAGGGGTTAATCGACAGAGCGACCTGTTCAAATATCAAACGTGAGTCATTATTCAGTATATGGTTGTACAATGGACCATTTATCCTATGCTTTGAGGGTTACAGGTAACAAGCTCTCTAAACTCAGTACTCTTGATCAGAAGTTTAGGAGTGGATCATTTATTTACTTGGAGATAAACACGATTTGATTCATCCACAGTTTTGATCACGCTAGTAGTCTGCCACTCTCCTCGACTGCCGCCAACCAAAGTCACATTATCAGCGATCTGGAGTGTGAGCGTGCAAGCTGGATCAAACAAACAAGAGGACATATTCAAGTTATTCAAATATAACTTCCACAGGGCCGATTCACTAAACAGTTGCTGTAATTCACCTTAATCAGGCCATGAGCTATTTAAATGAAGTCATTGTCATTCTTTTCAGTGCAAACATGTCTCATTTCCAAGTAAACAAGGCTATCATAGACCGTATTTACAAAACTCTATGTGCTTGGCGCAAACTGTGGAAAACAGGGACTATCAGCAGGGCACAATTCATTTATAATGTTTTGATGAATCCACAGTTTTGATCACGTCCATAGTCTGCCACTCTCCTCGACTGCCGCCAACCAAAGTCACATTATCAGCGATCTGGAGAGTGAGCGCGCAAGCTGGAGCAAACAAACAAGAGAACGTATTCATGTTATTCGAATATAACTTCCATGGGGAAATTCACTAAATAGTTGCTGTAATTCCACCTTAATCAGGCCATGAGATATTTAAATGAAGTCATTGTCTATTATAGACTGTATTTACCGTAAACTTTATTTGCTTGGTGCAAACCATGGAAAGCAGGCACTAGTAGGCACAAATCATTTGTAATGTCTTCATAATATAATTAGGAATATTTCTCAGGTTAAAAACAAATGGTCATAATCTGCTTAACAGCTTGTGATTTCAATCTTACTTTTCTGGCTCCATCCATTGATGGCCACAGGGCACGACCCCATCACAAAGGGGTAGTTAAAGAGGTTGATTTCACAGCTCACCATCGTGAACAAAACAACCGAATGGACCGCAGTTCCATCCCGCCGCACCTGTACATCATTAGTGTACGGCTCCATGGTCGTTTCTATTCTGAATGCAAACAGAGAGAGATTATGTCATTTTAACAACGTCACAGATTAACTGCCTTTTTTATGTAGGGGAAAAATATCTGCCTTGATATAAAAAATATATATCGCTTGATATTTTTCCCAATGTTTTATTCTATGCCTTGTGATGGGTTTGTGATCTTCTGATGGGTTTAGTTCCTCTGCAGACACCATAGTGAACAGCATATGCATGGTATATATGTTTTGAAACTCACGCATTGTCCAAAACTATCCGAGGAATCCAGATTTTATCAACTGGCAAAACAATTGTTGGATATTTATATTTCTCTTGCATCCATCCAAGATCAGGATCGTTCCACAGCTGTGGGGAAGAAAATACTATCAGTCTAAGAAATGCATTCTTTACTTTCCACTTTTGGCGATTATAAGAATACATTTTGAATTTTGTGAATGTTTTAGTGAGAGAAACAGCTTCTCATTTGTGACCCTGGACCACAAAACCAGTCATAAGTGTAAATTTTTCAAAATTGAGATTTGTACATCATCTGAAAGCTGAATAAATAAGCTTTCCATTGATGTATGGTTTGTTAGGATCGGACAATATTTGGCCGAGATACAACTATTTGAAAATCTGGAATCTGAGGGTGCAAAAAAATCAAAATATTAAGAAAATCGCCTTTAAAGTTGTCCAAATGAAGTTCTTAGCAATGCATATTACTAATCAAAAATTAAGTTTTAATATATTTATGGTAGAAAATTTACAAAATATCTTCATGGAACATGATCTTTACTTAATATCCTAATGATTTTTGGCATAAAAGAAAAATCTATAATTTTGACCCATACAATGTATTTTTTGGCTATTGCTACAAATATACCCCAGCGACTTAAGACTGCTTTTGTGCTCCAGGGTCACATTTTGTTTTACAATATAACAATTGTTTGAAATACTTGATTCTGATTGGTACTGCATGTAACAGGATTTAGGGTTGCAAAGGGGTGGAACATTTCCGGTAAATTTCCGGAAACTTTCCAAAAATCCCTGGAATGTTCCAAAAAAGTTTCCAAAATTTCTCGAATGTTTCCGAAATTTACTGGAAATTTTCCACCTTTTTGCAACCCTAAACAGCATGTTCTGTTACAAATTTTTGTGTAATGACACTAAACGGTATAATTGATTTTCCTACAAAGCTGTGCTATCATGTCTCATATCTCTACACACTCCGATTCTTAACACAAAATAATTTAAATTAAATGTGTTGTTTTTAATTATTTATTTGCATTGTAAGTAGCTGTGTATTGTGTGGGATAAATATACAGTCAGCCAACCATTATGGCTGCTTATGTTTGAAATGCAAGTTATTCGATATTATCCTTGTTTATAGAACTGCTGAAAATAAGAAATATCACAATCAAAATAAGACTGCTATATTGAATATCAGCACAGTTTCTGCTGTTCTAAAATTCAGTACAACAGCGCTCTGATTTGTGTGAGTTTACACTATAATAGTATTCAGTTAATTGAATTGGAGATGGTGACACTCGATAATTGTATTTCATTCAGGAACTCAACTCACCATGTTTACCTTGATACGGCTGGTCATTTTCATGTCTTTTGTATCCTAAAACATAGTGACAAAATTATTAGATACAGATGTTATAAGTATGTGCTTTTTTTAACATAGAAGATGATCAACAAGACAAAAGTGGCACTTACGAAAGACAATGTCTCATACTGTATTGAAGTGATGTTCACTATGATGGTACAGTTATCACTCTGTGGTGCACTGAACAGTTCTTTCTGAACCCGAGAATTTGCCAGACAGCGACGATCACAGGGAGTCTCGGTGGAATTGACGCCAACAAATGCTATAGGATCAGATAAATGTTTATATTTATGCACTTGGCAGATGCTTTCATCCAAAGCAACTTGCATTGCATTCAAGGTATGCATTTACATTTCATCAGTTCCTAACTTTTGGTGTGAAAAGGCTTTTATATTTGCCAAAAATAGAACTTTTTTATTTTAAAAACAAACAAGCAAGCCCTGTCCAGATTTAAAAAGTAACGCAAAAGTAACGTAACACATTACTTTCCATAAAAAGTAACTAAGTAACGTAATTAGTTACTTTTTTATGGAGTAACGCAATATTGTAATGCATTAATTTTAAAAGTAACTTTCCCCAACACTGATCAGTTCTGGCTTTCCCTGGGAATCGAACCCATGACCTTGCCGTTGCTAGCGCCATGATCAACTGTTTGAACTACAGGAAAACGTCAGTAAACTACATGAACTACAGGAAAACGTCAGTTAAAGAGACCACATTGTAAGTGAGGGAGTTCACTCACTTGAAAATGCAAATAAAACTGAATGTTTTAGGATTTTGGATAAAAAAGGGCAGTTATGATACAAGTGAATAAAAACATTTAAGAATATGCACTGTTTCTACTCTGAAAAAAAAAAATGGTGTAGAAACTATTTTCACTCAGAAATTGCTAGTAAATTTCACAAACAAAGAAATGCCAAGTAACACATTGAATTAAATGTGAAATTTTGAAGCACAAAGAATGAAATTGTATTTTCTTATTTTATTTACAACTTAAAAAATTGACATTGAGCATGTTACTATAACTCCCTTTCACAGGCGGTCATGCTGGAGAACATTATTATCAGGTTTAGATCATTTCAGAGGGACATACAAACTAAGACATTCTCAAATTCTAGTCAAATCGTACGCTGATTATACCATTTTTATTATATTAAAAATATTGCATTTTCACCAGTATTAATCTATAAAAATCATGCTCTTGTTTATCTGCATGCAAATTATAATTATAACCACACAGTATTTAAATTACATGAGAAGGTTTACTACAACTGGAGAAATAATTTACCAAGTGGAGATGAACAGAGGAGGAGCAACAATGAAATCCTGTGTTGAAGAACCATTTCAGCTCCTACAAACAAGAAAAATAAGCAGTTCTACATTCTTTTATCAATATATCCATTTTTAAGAATGCAAAACTGATAAACATTTACCTTTGCTAGCAAACTCCCAGGTCAGATTCCACAAAGTGCAGCTGTGGCTTCTTTATAGTTTTTGAGGGAAACAAGGATCATTTGGCTCTTTTAAAGGGTCGCAGCTCTTTGAAAACCACATGAATGTCGTTACGCAAGACAAACAAAATAGACCCAGCTCATATCTGAACTCCCAGGTCAGATTCCACAAAGTGCAGCTGTGGCTTCTTTATAGTTTTTGAGGGAAACAAGGATCATTTGGCTCTTTTAAAGGGTCGCAGCTCTTTGAAAACCACATGAATGTCGTTACGCAAGACAAACACAATAGACCCAGCTCATATCTGAACCATCTATGTCCATTAAATCTGATCCTATATTTTGTGTAAGCTTGTCTTGTTACTAGATCTACAGTTTATTGTTAAACATCACAACAGAGCACTAATTACTTGCTGGGACAGTCAAACAGGAGGCCATTCAATGGTTGACAAAGGCCACAGGAGGCCATACATGAGAACAATCACTGTACTTTAGCAAACACTTCCACTAGGTTTTTAATTATGTTTGATTAAATATTGTTTTCATTCCAGCCTGACATTTTCATTATATTTGTGGTGAATTAGAGTTTCACTAATTACAAATAATAAACCTACAGTAATTTTCCTCCAGGTCTCTGGTTTCCCCTACAATCCAAAAACATGCAGGACAGGTGAAGTGGAGTTCATAGGAGTGCGTGTGTGTGCACGCTATTCAGGTATTCCCTATACGTTATGGGGGCAAAATGTTGTGGGGACATTTTTTGTCCCCATGAGAAAAACAGCTTATAAATTATACAGAATTAAGTTTTTTGAAAATCTAAAAATGCAGAAAGTTTCCTGTGAGGGGTAGGTTTAGGGGTAGGGTTGGTGTAGGGCAATAGAATATACGGTCTGTACAGTAGAAAAACCATTACGCCTATGGAGAGTCCCCACAAGGATAGTGCACCAGACGTGTGTGTGTGTGTGTGCTGGTTTATATATCCTGGTGGGGACTTAAACCTGAATACACACAGACTCATGGGGACTCATGGGGACTCATGTCACGGTGGGGACCTAAATTGTGGTCCCCACGGGTACAAAAGCTTATAAATCATACAGAATTAAGTTTTTTGAAAATCTAAAAATGCAGAAAGTTTCCTGTGAGGGGTAGGTTTAGGCGCAGGGTTGGTGTAGGACAATAGAATATACGGTCGGTACAGTAGAAAAACCATTACGCCTATGGAGAGTCCCCACAAGGATAGCAAACCAGACATGTGTGTGTGTGTGTGAGTGTGTCTGTGTGTGTGT